ACACACACACACACACACACACTTTGTCACCTCGCTCTCTGCAGCATTTCATTTCTTCAGTTTGTTCTTATCTCTCATGTCACTCAAACCTTGTATCTTTTCTTACTCTTCCCTTATCGCTGCAGGTTTTCCTGAGCAGACGGTCTCTGTGGCAGAGTTTTACCTCGAGTGGAAGTGACTGAGTGACTGAGTGACTGAGTGAGTGAGTGAGTGAGTGAGTGAGTGAGTGGCTGTCATGGAAGGCAACAGAGCAGATGTCGAGGACCCTCCCTACCAGAACCTGCTTCTCTTGGGAGCCATTGCAGCAGCGTCTGCCTTCGTGGTCACCATCCTTATTGTCCTCGTCTGCGTTGGCTGCCAAAGGTAAGAGGAACGCTCACAGGACTTGGGAAAGAGTAAAGGGGGCGGACTGAAATAAGAAAAGAGAACAGCCAGAGTTTTATCAAATCTGCAGCCAGCTTTTTTCATGCCCTCCCTGATCCTCTTTTGCTTTTATGTGTCTCTACTACTTCTGAACTCTTCTCCTCCCTTCTTTCTCTTTCTCCGTCCTCTCCATCTCTTTTATCCTCCTCCTCTGAGCGGAGTGGCAGTAATGAATGTTAATAGCGTGCGAATGTCAGATCAGATGAAATGATGTTTACAGGACACTGAGGAGACAGGCCAGAGTCAGAGCAGCCTCGCGTCACCCCTCTTAAGCAGACTCCTCAGCAGGCAGGAGCAGTGGAACACCCTGCAGTTTAAAGGGGATCAGACTCTGCGCCAGGCAAGAGCAATGGAACAGCCCGTTTTTTTTCTCTCCCTCACACACAATCCTCGGGGACCAATCAGAGGCTGCACTGTGGCTTTGTTGCCATGGGATACACAGATAAGGATGTAGGGAAACGAAATGTCAAACCAGCTCATGTCATGGAAATAAAACAACATCGTTGTAAAGATCTTAAGAACAAAATGCATGCTCCCAACTGGATGTCGGTGATGCTGAGGAGCCGAGTGTTCAGAAGCTCACCTGTTCAAATTCACTTTTTCATGCACTAATGCCAAAGATCCTGGAAAGAGAAACCTGCTGCTATTGATTTAAAATAAACCCTGCGCTTTTTGAAGCTGAGGCTTGTGGGAGATTTTAGTCTGAAAATCACATGTAGTTCCAGCTCATTGGAGAAGACAGCAGCTACAGTAACTGCAGTAACACAGAGCTGACACAACTGACCCTGCTACTTGTATTACCTCCACCTAGGATGATAGGATGTTGCCCCTGTCCGATGGTTTGTTCATCAGCAGGATTATTATGTAAAAAAACTACTGAACCGATTTCCACGAAACTTGGTGGAAGAATGTGGCATGAACCAAGAAAGAACCCATTAAATCTAGGGTTGGTCGAGCTAGCAAGAGGAGCCTACACTTTGATAATATGCATCAGATACATCCCTCATCCCTTCTCATCAGACATATATTGTCAAAACTACATAACATACGAACGTGCACTGATAACTTCTAGAACCTAATTTTCCGTGACTAACTCGCTAACTTGTGGAGACCGTCTCTGCTTCAGTGGTGTACGTCTCCCAGCTGAAGACTCTGGTTATGATGATCGGAGCATGAAGAGGATTTCAACAAATACCAACCCTATCTTTTCGCTAATTTCCGAGGGAATAATTAATGGTCACTGATATCTATGAAATTATGTGTGAAACAATTTGATTGAATTTACTAACCTGGCAGAGGTATGCGCTGCACTGCACTGCGTGCCATTCTAGTGCTCAGATATTGTTCAAACTACTTGTATGATAAATTGAATCTGTGAGGTTCTCGCACCATCTTCCTCACTTGAAATGCTATTTATTGCCGTGTTGTAGCAGTAAAATCTCACACATTACAAGGTGCAGATCCTCACCCTCTAAAGTGCAAGAACAGTTCTTGCAGTCACACCTGCACTCTGAAGCTTTTGTCTTCTTACTTCTTCTCATATCGTCACTCGTTCACCATATCAACTGTTTCCTATGGATACAGCCTCCTCCAGGGATCCGCCGGGATCCACAACACTCCTGTAGATACATTTTTCTCACAAGACTGATGCCAGAGGATTGTAAAGTTTAACAGAAAAGAGGATCAGCATAAAGGAAACTACAACATAATTCTTGGTCTTACAATAAAAACTAAAATGGCACTCATAGAGCACATACCTCTGCTTGGTTGGGTGCAGCATCTGGCTCAAGGGGAATTTGGATATTTTTGTGTAATTTTGCTAACAGACAAAAACAAACCAAAAAAGTAAAGTTTCTCTGTGAGGGACATCCTCTACTTTGGCAAAAACCCGACGCACGCTCCCCTCACTGTTTGACTGGGTTGTTGTTATCAAGCAAGGACATTCGTGCCCTAGCCAGCGCCGGGTGCTGATAGTATCTATGCTCTCTGAGTGTGTTTGTATGTTCTCTCTCTGTCCACCGGCTCCTGTTGACCTTCCTCACTTTGATGCTGTGTCAGAAAAAGCAAGAGCAAGCACCCTCCAGCCGGAGAGAAAGGGACATCTGTAAATATGGTGAGACATGCATTTGTTTTTTACTCTCTCCATCTCCTCCTGCTCTGTTCCCTGTGAGCTTCCTCCCTCTTTTGTGTGCACAGATACACGTGCCGGTGTTTGCATGTTTTGTTCCTGTGTTGACGTGTCCGTTTGTGTGTGTGACAGCAGGGCACACTCCGCCATCCCAAACTGAACTCCATGAGCAAGTCTGACACCAGGCTGCACGAGATCAATCGCTTCCCCTGCAATGGAAACTGTAAGTGTGGACTGACAGTTTGTGTGTGACAGTGTATGACAAACAACCCTGAGCTGTTTCACCATTTCAGTCCTGTCCCCTCCTTCCTCCTCTTCCTCTCTGTGCAGCTGTTAGTAAGAGCCGTCCAGCCAGTATGGACCTCCTGCTCCTCCACAGTCGCTGCTCCCAGACAGACCTGAGGCCCTCCCATGGGCGCCAGCTACCCCAGATCCCCACCAGTCCCCAGGGATCTGGCCAGGGGGAGGGAGGGGAGACGGGAGGAGAAGGGGGGGGAGGAGGAGGAGGAGGAGGGGCAGGAGGAGGGGCAGGAGGAGGGGAGGCCAGAGACCACACTTACACCGAGGTGGGCCTGCGCAACAACCCCACCCCGACCCACGGCCTGGACGATGGCCTGTATGAAAGTGTAGGCGTCCGGGAGGGTGAAACAGGCCTCAGGGTACCCTCTGCCCCGCCGTCCACATCATCCAACACGCCAGCTTTAGTCAGGGCTGCCCAAAGCCCGCCAGCTCATACCAACGGAGGCCGCAATGGAAACGGGCTTGGAAATGTACGTATATACACGCAGATCCAACACTTATTATATACCTTTAAATGAAATGGAACATACAGGTCAACTCTCTGCACATGTTCGACAAGTATCAGCTGCAGATTCAGTTGATGAAATTAATGATAAACAGCTAAAACTTCTGGTTCTGTAACAGTTTACAGTTTAACAGTAATTTGTTTGTAACTGACACCTCTAGTCATGAGAGAGCTTATATGTTTATTTTTTGGCTCACAGGGAAGCAGAGGGAACGGCAGGGGGAACGGCACCATTAATGGTCCGATGAATGGAAGAGGTAATGGGGTGAGCGGTGTCAGTAGGTCCCCCCTGTCTTCTGTTAAATCTCTGGCTATTCAAGATCCGACTGCGGCCGAGTACGCTTCCATACGCAAGTTCAAAAAGGTAATTTTAAACATACATATCAGTTATCTCGGTAATGCCCCCCTGTATTGATTTAATAAATAAGTATTTTGTTTTTTATGGGATTTAGAAACTCTACATTATAGCATTTACAGAAAGAAGTTCAGCCTGTGTTTACACAGACACAGAGATAACAAAGATCATTATCATTATCAATGATCTGCAAATTTTAAAACATTTCTGAAAGTTTTGTGATTTGATTGGATGGAAAGTATTAACTGACATCACACTAAACCAGACACTAGAGTTATCAGGGTATTTAATGTATTTTAGTAACTCTGCATGTAGATATAATAATTAATCCATTATCTTGTCAGGCTTTGACTCATTACGTAAAAGTAACATAAATGAAAGATTAGTATCAACTCTCCAGCTTAAGATGCAAGAAAAATCCTAAAATGCTCTGTGGACTTTTTGCTGCGTGTACATTTATAGATGATGTTTTCACTGTTGCCTCAATGTTTGAAGGTTGACAAGACAAGCAGGAAGGAAAACAACGGGGCCGACAGCCAGTCAGACAGCCAGTCGAGCGTGAGTGATTCACCCTCTGCTGCTCCTCCTCCACTGCATCGCAGTCAGGAGTTTCCACGCAAGCCACTGGAGCCATTCCACCTGCACTCCTTCCCAAAGGTACACGAATCATTGGTTCAATATGCTCCCCAACAACCTCAGGCACCGCACGTCATTACCAAAACCCTCCAATTCTTCAAACTGTAAGCCTGCCCACTCACCACCAGAGGCCACTGTCCACAAACAAACTGCTCTTCATGGTTAAGCCTGAGGATTTAGATTATTTCAGTCCCTCAATGGTTTCAAATCAAATTATACCACACATTTATACTTTATTTCATTTACTGTCAGTGTAAGTGTGTGCATGTGTGAACAAAGCTAATAGCTACCTACCTACTACCTACCAACAATTGATTAACTAACCAACTTAAATCAAGCAGTCAGTTAATCAATCAGATTTATTTGTGTAACACTTTTCTTTTTCAAGCAATGCAACACAAATGGATTTACAGTAGAATATAATGCCCCCAAAATAATAATATACTTCCAGCTGGGTTGAGTTTTAACAGTTTAGGGCAGTAGGGAAATAGAGACACAATGCTCGGATGGTGATCAGCCTTTCCTGTGGGTTTGCTGGCACACACACGTCTGCTTTTGTGTGATTTCCAGATCAAAAAAAAAAAAAGACTTTGTCTTTTGTGTTAGTGATTTGAGGAGATTGATATGGTTGTTGAAAAACAATTTTGCTTCAGCTGTGGATGTTGGCCCCTTTGTTGACCTGAACTTTTAATCTGCGTATCTGTAAAATCCTTGATAGTGTGTGCGTGTGCATGTGTGCGAATATGTGCGTTTCTTCCGCCCCTGTGCACTGTGCTGCGCAGCTCGGCACCAGAGTGGCCAGAGTCGAGAGTGGAAGGATGTATTATGTAAGAGCTTGGCAGGCTTCCAAGCTGCCTGTCTCTCTGTGTGTGTGTGTGTGTGTGTGTG